CGCTCGTCCGGCTCCCGTCAGAATGTGGCCCCCGACCCGCCCCCCCGGCGCGGGCCTTCTCCTCCCGCTAACGGGCGGGCCGGCCGCCTCCCTCCTAACCTGGCCTCCGGCAGGACTCTGCTCCCTCCTCCGCCGCCCTCTGGCAGGGCTTCACCCTTCTCTCTATGGGCAGAAACTGGTCCCCTCCTGCTCGCTGGTGGGTGGTCGTCCACGGAGACAGGCCCCGCGCCCCCTGCCCGCCGGTGGGCGTCGCCCCGGCCGCCTGTCCCTCCCTGCGGGCCGCGGCTCGGCAGTTATTGTCCGCGCCTCGTAGGCAGCGCTATCCCCCGGCGGCCGCCTCCCGGCCTCCCGACCCCGCGGGAGTGGGATCACCCGTCCAGGGGACGCCACCGGGGGTTTCCTGCACCACCCGGCGTCTGACCCGCTCCAACTCGGATACTGAATCCTAGTGGTCGCTGGCGGCTGCGCCCGGGAGGATTTTCCCTCCGCCGTCGGGGGTACCCCTTGCGGCCGCGAGCACCTTTCCCCTGCAGCTGCCGCCCCTCCCGCCTTCAAACACTATTGGTCCTCTTTGGGTGTCTATTCTCCCGGGAACGCCCCTTCTCCTAGGAGACAGTTGCCCTGGTCCCGCCCCGAATATCCCTCCAGCTCCCTGCGCGGGTTTCGGCCCTTTGGGGCCCACTTGGGGGCCTAGCGGTGCCCACCCGCCCTTCACGCACGCCAGCCGGCGCCTCAGGTTTTCCCTCTGGTGGCCCACCCACCTTCTCTCCCGGGTGGGGCCTGGGCGTGGTGGTCCTTGCCTCCGAAGTTCCGTTCCCAGTCCCTCCCTGGAGAGGGGCGCTCCCTCCGCGTCCCCCACCACCTACCGGCCACCCACGCGCTGCTCCGCAGGTCGCTCAGCCTCTCCTATCTCCCCCCACTTTGGCAGGACAGTTGCTGTGCGACTTGGACAGTAGAGGAGCGCCTCCCAAGTTTTCATCCAACTGCCACCCCTAAAGCTTCCACCCTCCTCCCCTCAGAGAGGACGTTTGATGCCGGGCCCCTGAGATTCTCATTGACAAGCCCCTCTGGGTCCCCCTGAGCAGTGCCTGCTGACCCATTTGCCCACCTTTGCGGCTTTGATGCCTAACCATGTCTGCCTCATCCTCAGGCGGCTCCCCCAGGTACTGCCAACGTGGGGGGCGCCTCCGCAGAAGGGCAGGGGCAGGTGGTCAGGGTCCCCCAGGCCAGGCTCGCTGGAGGCTTCTCTTTTCAGCTTCCCTGTTCTGTGTATTGAAAGTCTGGAACAAAACATTGAAAAGTCATTTTTAAAGGGAAGGAGGAAAAAAGTGCTTGCTCGCAATCCCAGCTCTGCCTCCCTCGTGCCCTCCCTTCCCCAGGTGCCCCAGTTCCTCCTGGCAAACAGGGCCCCCATTGTCTTCATGGAGTACTAGGCATAGGTCCTTTTTGAAAGGAAGCTACATGTAAATAACAGTGATGTAGGAGTTAATAAGGTGTTGATGCTGTCCAGGTGATTTGATGGCAAGCCCGCAGGGGGAGACAGATTTCCCCGATCTGTTGGCTTTTAAGTGAGGAGGGAAAAAAGAATCTGTCTACTCAGATTTGGTATTCCTCACCTAAATGATGAGTAGGATGCAATAAATATTTTTTTCTTTTTCGTCAAGGTGTGCTACACATACAACAGGATGCATGCTAAAGGGCTCGAGCATTTTTCTGTTGCATTATTTTCCCCTAAGTATTTGTGGGGAGGACGGAAGTCCTATTTGGAGGCTGTCAGGAGGTAGTGGGATGGATCAGATGAATTTTCCAAGTCCCTTTCTGTCGTGGAATTCTTGGATGCTCTGCTGCCAAATATTGGAGATGAAACTTTTGCTATATTTGCAGACCTGGTGATGGGGCTGTTTATGTATGAACATGCTAAATTGCACATAGTATTAAAAACAAACACACAAAACCTCTCCAAAACAAAAATAACCCTGCTTCGCAGGATTTTAAAGGGTAGCAAGTAGAATATTTGGGGACATGGTAATTTTCCATCAGCTTACTTGAATATGTGACTGTTAATTTTATGAATTTGAGTCACAGGGACTTTGTTCCTGGGCCTGCTGCTCTGTCTTTTGATGTCTGTCACTTCCGGAGCATTTTTCCAGGGCCGCTTCTGCTCCGGGCACAGTCCTGGGCACTTTCACCCTTGGCCACACTAGTACCTTGCCTGGTGCTCCCATGCTGCCTGCTTTTTGTCATCTGACAGGATGACAGCTGGGCTTTTCAGCAAAAGGTCACAATACTTGTGATGCGACCGCAGAGGTTAAAAGGCCAGCCCTGCGAATGCCCATCACCCCCTGTTTCCATCCCCCTGCCGGGTGCACCATGTGTGTTCGGTGGCCGTGTAAAGGGAGCCAAGTGAGACCAGACTGGTTCTCCTAGCCGTTCACTCGTGTCATTTCGGGAGATCTAAGAGATAGAAGAGCCCTAGTTTTCTGCTTACAATCTGGTTCTTGTGCCTGGGTACAGGTTTCCATCGTGCGGGAAGAACGGAGTAACAAGTCTCACGCAGAAAAAGGTCTTGAGGACACCTTGTGGCGCACCCAGTGTGACTGTGACGGTAGGTGACGTGCCCACGGAGCAGCCCTCCAGCCTATGGCCCCACCAAAAATGCTTCGGCTCGCCTTTTCCAGGAGCTGCCTTTCCCCGCCCCCACCACTGTGGCCTAGTGCTCTGCTAGAGGCTTTCCTGCATATCCTGCTCATCGGGGGGTTGGTTCTGGTTTTGGTTTTTTTGCCTGTGGTAAAGCTGCTGGGTGTGAGGAGGATGTCTTCACCTAATCCTTCCAAATTCCAGAAGTCCTGAGAACACATTTTCCAAAAAAAAGAAGAAGAAAAGAGAACGGGGAGGGGACGGGTTGCGGGTAGTGGGCAAGGGGTGTGTGTGGCTGGGGGGGTTCGGCCCTGCTCGGGTTCTCTTCCGAATCAATACAACCTTCTCATCTCAGCATTTCCTTTAGCCTTCCGTTTTCCTCATCTTCCACCTGCCTCCTGCCTGCCTGACTGTGCACTCTAACCATGTGGTGTGTGTCCTGTGCTGCCGTGCATGCGCAGATCAGATCACGGGGCAGAAGGAGTCCCCTGCTTTCCAGCTGTGCTACACTAAGTCTACAGAGGAGCTCTGCCTTCCAGCAGGCTCGGAAGGAGATTCGGCTCTGAGGACCCCGGGGCCTGGGTTCGCACTCTTTTGGGGAACCCGCAGGTCTTGCAGACCCCTGTCTTGAGTGGACCTAGATCGTCCAGGTGGTCTTCAGCCGGGATCTCTGCGGGAGTCTGCTGAACAGTGCTACTACCCTAGTTCCAGCCTGCATGCCAGTAGTTGGTAGCTGTCCTGCTCGCTTGGTGGCTAGGCTTTCAGTGGCCCCCAGAGGCTGTGAGCTCGGTTTTTTATGCCAGTTTACTCATCCACAGATCAACCTTTTTTGTGTTGCCCTCCCCCGCCTGCCAGAAGCGAAGCATGAAGGACCGCTCTTCAACGCCCCCCTTACATGTTCATGTGGATGAGAACACTCCTGTCCACGTCCACATAAAAAAACTCCCGAAACCATCAGCGACCAGCGGCCAGGTAGGAGCATGCCAGTCGGGCGAGGTGAAGGCTGTGGAGCAGGGTGACCCCTCCCAGCACGGCCTCCTCGGGCTTCAAACTCCACAAAGGTTTGGGAGACAAATGCACTTGCTTTCAGAGGTCGGCTGCCTGGCTAGAAGGTAGGCGGCACTGTCACCCAGAAACGGCAGTGATAGCCTTAGTCAGAAGAGGCTCCCCTGCAGAGTTGGAAGTGGATGCCACCAGAGGAGACCACGGCCAGCTGTGTGGGGAAGTGACCCTGGGTTTGTCCCTTTCCACAGAAATCTCATAAGCGCGGAATGAAAGGGGACACCGTGAATGTGCGGCGGAGTGTCCGGGTGAAAACCAAGGTACCTTGGATGCCCCCTGGAAAATCATCCGCCCGGCATGTGGGATGCAAGTGGGAGGTAGGCTCATTCTTGTTCAGGCTTTTCTTCTCGGACTGGTCAGGTTCTAGCAGGCCTCAAACTCGGTATGATTCAGGGTCAGCTGTCACAATATATTAGAGATGTCCCAGTAGGTCCTGTTTAGTGAGTGGCCTGGCTAAACCCTGAAAGTACGCAAATGTTCTAGAGCCCTTAATACCACTGCCAGGTGGTAGGTCTCACTCTCCCCATGGACAGATGAGGAAACCAAGGCTCAGAGAGATGAAGTCCCAGAGAAAGTAGCAGAGCTGGAGTCAGGGATGAGGGAGGTCTCATTCTAGAAGTTGCACCCTTGGCCTCTCTGATCTGTGTGTGCGGAGCCACATGTCTTTCCCCGTGTAACCGTGAAACATCTGAAGCGTACCTCTTATGAGGTAGTCCTCATAAGAGATCATGCGTGTATTCCACAGATGTCATCAAAAGCACTTTTGGAACAATCTCAGGGAATGATTGCCTTCCGTATCAGTTGTCAAGGTGCCAAGAGAATTACTGTCCTTTTTTTTTTTTAGCCACACCTCAACATGTTTTGCTTATCCATCCATCCATCCATCCATCCGTGCAGTAATTCTTGCAGCATATGTTTCTTGAGACTTGGTGCCAGACACTGCGGGGCCCTGGGGTGACAGCCGCAGACTCGCAGGCATACCCCTCCTTAGGCTTACATTCTAGTCAATTGCAATGAAAAACCTCAGTGATGAGGCAAGACCTTATGGCTGCATTTTAGACAAAGATCTCGTAATCGGGGCGAGTAAAAAAGACCTGAGGCTGCTTTGAGGTGGGGATGGTGCCTGGCTCGTTTTGAAACATTCAGTCTTTTGCCGATAGTTGATTACTTTTAAAATTAGAAATAAAAAATAAAAGTAATTACTCTGAAGTCCTACTTCACGGGTGTGACTCCCTGATTTACCAGTTTTTCCTAAGAGACAAAGGGAGTATGGGGTATTCTAGGGAATAAACGATACAAATAAAAGTGTGCTGACCAGTAGGTATGTATGTGTGTGTGTATATATGTGTGTGTGTGTGTACATATATGTGTGTATATATGTGTGTGTGTGTATATACACACATACTTATATATATGCAAATACTTATATAAGAAAGATTGGAATTAAAATGCTGTCTTCCATTTTTCGCTACATGTACCTCACTAATAATCAGTGAGACATAAATGAAAAAAAACTATATTTTAAAAACAAACACAAGCTCTCATTTTTGTTGAATGGAATATAGTTAAAAAGCTCACCGATATCTCATGTTAACAAGCATATGAGAAATCAGCAAACCTTTTTAGACCATTTTGAGAGGATGGTGAAGCCATTTAATAGCTGTGGAGCATTTATCTAAACATTGATGCTATAGTTCGGGTTTTTAAAAATTTTTTTCCAGATATTTAAATTTTTAATCTCTTCACCCCCTGTGGGGCTTGAGCTCACAACCCCGAGATCGAGATTTGCATGCTCATCGACTGAACCAGGCAGGCACCCCAAGGATGCTATAGTTTGATATCTAGGAATTGATTCTGTAGTTTTAGGAGGGGTATGCCTGCGAGTCTGCGACTGTCACCCCAGGGCCCCGCAGTGTCTGGCACCAAGTCTCAAGAAACATATGCTGCAAGAATTACTGCACGGATGGATGGATGGATGGATGGATAAGCAAAACATGTTGAGGCGTGGCTAAAAAAAAAAAGGACAGTAATTCTCTTGGCACCTTGACAACTGATACGGAAATTTATCCTTAAAAAGTCACAGAAGAGTACAGGGATGATGTATCCAGATGTTTGTAAGAGAGAACAATTGGAAGCAACCTAAATGTCTATCAGGAGGTATTGGTTAAATGATGATGCACTCATGCAGTGTACATCCATACAATCCAAAGATGGATTTATAAATGATAATGAAGCACAGAGCCACACAGCATGTAGAGTTTGGCCCTATTTGTGCAAAAAAGGGTGTCTGTGGGGCACCTGGCTAGCTTAGTCCACAGAGCATGCGACTCTTCATCGTGGAGTTGTGAGTTTGAGCCCCACATTGGGCGCAGAGCTTACTTTAAAAAAAAAGAAAAGAAAAAGAAAGGACATCTGTATCCATGTGTATATGCATATGTTTGTATATGTATAACATTTTCCGGAGAGATATACAGGAAGTAGTAAGCAGTGATTACCTCTGAGTTGGAGGGGGCTTTATTTTTTATGGTCTGCTTGAATTTCATTATAACAAGCATATTATATTTTATAATGAAAATTGCTTTTTAGGGGCACCTGGCTGGCTCAGTCGGTGGAGTGTGTGACTCTTGATCTCAGGGCCTTGAGTTTGAGCCCCACGTTAGGGGTGGAGATTACATAAAATAAAAAAATAAAATCTTCAAAAAAAATGCTTTTTAAAAAACCGAAAAGACTTGTAGTTTTAAAGTATACATTGAAGATCTGCCACTATGGAAATTGACCTCCCTGTTGACCGAGGTTGCTAGGAGCTATGGTCCCCCCGGAAAGCTCAAATGTCCGCTTTCAGTCCTCTAGCTGCAGAATCCTAGGAATGGAGGAGCCCAGGGAGGTGACTTGTCTCTCAAATAGTAGCTGTATTTCATGCAGCCCTCTTGAGCCAGTGCCTTTCCCCTTCCCAGTGGTGCTCTTTGTTTCCGGAAAGACCTAGCCTGACCCTTTCCATTGTGGACAAGGGAGAAAGACCCTACGATGAGGAAATATGGGATGAGCTGGGCATGGACCTCAGAAGCTGCTATGTACATGTGGGGATTCTTGTTTGATTTTTTAAAACCCCTTCTGGTATAGATTGATCACCTTTGGGAGAAAGGAGGTCTGGGTTTTTTCTCTACCCTATTATTGAAAGTGATCTATTTTTTATTATGGGAAGTTGAAAATACAGACAAATAGACCGTCACCTGTAATCTTACTACTCTAATGCGGCTGCTATTAAGTTTTAAAAGCTTTGTGTGAAAAGTATTGCAAAGTACACACATCAGAAATGTATTGCTTGATTGATGAATTTTTACAAACAATATACCGTGTAACTGCTTCCCCGCTTAAGAAACCACATCATCAGGGCGCCTGGGTGGCTCGGTTGGTTAAGCGACTGCCTTCGGCTCAGGTCATGATCCTGGAGTCCCTGGATCGAGTCCCGCATCGGGCTCCCTGCTCGGCAGGGAGTCTGCTTCTCCCTCTGACCCTCCTCCCTCTCGCGCTATCTCTCATTCTCTCTCACTCGAATAAATAAATAAAATCTTTAAAAAAAAAAAAAAAGAAACCACATCATCACCAGCTTCCCCAGAAGCTCCCCTCTGGTCCTGATGCTGTCATTACCACCCCTCAGGGGAACCACCCTCCTGAAACTGCTAACATTTTGGTATATTTACTGTCACACTTTTTCCTGTGCATAGTTTTAGGTTTTAAAATATCACTGTAATCATACTACATATTGTCCTATTATCCTTCTTTTAAAAATTGCAAACTTTTTGTCTTAAAAAAGCAGTGCATGGTCGCTGTTGAAAAATTAGAAAATCCAAACCAACACAAGGAAGAAAGTAAAAAACACCTGTCATCCCACCAGTCTGAGAAGAGCTCTGGAACTTCTCGGTGGAAGTCTGCCTGATCTCTTCTTATGAAGAGACTCCTTGTTTTGATTTTTGTAACAATGGGACCATATTTCACTTTTTTATTTTATTTTTGATTATATTCTTTTTTAACATTTTGACTATATTTACATTGCACATTATTTTTTAAGGCAGTATTCCATTGTGTGTATATTTGTACCATGATATATTTAACCAATACTCTCTTGTCATATGTTTGTCTCTATCCTTGCCTTGATTTTATTTATTTATTTATTTATTTTTTATTCTTTTAAAGATTTTTATTTGTCAGAGAGAGAGAGCACAAGCAGGGGGAGCAGCAGAGGGAGAGGGAGAAGCAGGCTCCTCACTGAGCAAGGAGCCTCATGTGGGACTCGATCCCAGGACCCTGGGATCATGACCCGAGCCAAAGGCAGACGCTTAACGACTGAGCCACCCAGGCGTCCCATCTTGCCTTGATTTTAAATATTGATTCACATTCATAAATATTCTTGATAAGTCCCTAGAAATAGAATTGCCGGGACAAAGGGCACATGCAGTTTTAACATTGTACCCTGTAAGTCCTACTTGTTTGGCACAAGAGTTACTCTCTTACTGAATGCTCCTTTTATTCTTCTTCCCCTGGAAATTGGCACAGGTTGGCCACGTCAGCTAAAGAGGAGCACAGAACTGTACAAAAAATGAGAAATAACAATTACTTAATGCAACAGAATAAACTTACAGACTGAGAGAGTCAAGTTCAACATATCAGAAACCCATGGAGACCCTGGCTCCCAGATTATGATATCTTTCTATCTGGAGTCTTACAAGCAAAGGGTTATACAGCTTTACATAAACTTTTCAGAGGGGCACATGCCTTTTTTTTTCTAAGATTTTTATTTATTTATTTGACAGAGAGAGATACAGTGAGAGAAGGGAACACAAGCAGAGGGAGTGGGAGAGGGAGAAGCAGGCTTCCCGCGGAGCAGGGAGCCCGATGCGGGGCTCGATCCCAGGACCCTCAGATCATGACCCGAGCCCAAGGCAGACGCTCAATGACTGAGCCACCCAGGTGCCCTGGGGCACATGCATTTGATTTAAAAAATATGTATTTATGCTGATGCATTTAAATAAATATTTTCCAGACATCATACCCTTTCGACCCCTAAATTATTCAATATGCATTTTTTTTTTAAAGATTTTATTTATTTATTTGAGAGAGAGAATGAGATAGAGAGAGCATGAGAGGGCGGAGGGTCAGAGGGAGAAGCAGACTCCCCACTGAGCAGGGAGCCCGATGTGGGACTCGATCCCGGGACTCCAGGATCATGACCTGAGCCGAAGGCAGTTGTTTAACCAACTGAGCCACCCAGGCGCCCCTCAGTATGCATTTCTAATAATATTTTTCTACGTAACCAAAATAACTGTGATTAATCCTAAAAACTTTATTTCTTATTATCATATATCTGGTGCATACTCAGATTTACCCACTTGTCCCTAAAATACCTTTCATAGCAGATTTGTGTTACTCGCAGCTATCCACTGTCACACATTCATACTCACTTAAAAGACTTTTGACTTATTTCCCTTTTACCCTAGGTATATGAAAACATCTCTTGCCCCCAAATTTTGCCAACGTGGGGTATTATTACTATTTTTGCCAGTCTGTTCTATCCTTTATTTTAAACTTGACATTGTAACACAGGTTTATTTCTTGGTAGAGAATCTTCAGAAACCTCATGTAAACGTGGGTAGGTAACGTTCCATCGAGAAGGCCCGGTGCACTGTCCGTCCTAGGGTCTCTGGGGCCGGCCCTCAGCGGTTTAGCTCTTCCCGCCTCCATTGGACAAAGCAGGTGCGCTGGAACCGATGCTTGCCGCCTTGCCTTATGAGTTCATGTGTCTCTCCTTCCTCTGCATCAGAATCCACCTCATTGTCTGGAGATCACGCCACCATCTTCAGAAAAGCTGGTCTCGGTGATGCGGTTAAGTGACCTCTCTACAGAAGATGATGACTCGGGTCACTGTAAAATGAACCGTTATGATAAGAAGATTGACAGTCTAATGAACGCGGTTGGTTGTCTCAAGTCTGAGGTGAGGGAGGTGGGGGCTGGAGTAGCTATGGCCCTGAGGATGTGACAGACGGCCCAGGTCGGTTCCTGGTGGCCTGCTTCCTTGGGGCTGTCCGCCTGTGGGCCTCCCGCCCTTCTCAGCACGCTGCCCAGGGCTTCAGATGCCTCTGAGGAGGTATAGCCCCAGGGCACCGAGCACTTAGCCCGGGGCCTGGCTCTGACCCCACCTGGTGCTCTGTATGGATGCCCTGGTTTGACTTGTCACAGCAGTAGATGAAGCCAGTGAGGGTATCGCCCCCATTTTGGAGATGACGTGACTGTGACACTGGGACCTCTGTTCCCCATTTTTACACAGCAGTTTGGAAAGAGAACAAAGCCCCAAGGAGGTGAAGGAAGTTTGTCGTCAGTTGGTAGGCTCTGTCTTTGGGCAAGATCAAGACCCAGGTCTTGACAGCTGACATGGCCTGTGTCTTTAATCCCCTGCCCTGCATTCGGGGCTCATGGGCCCACCTGGAGAACCTGGGGCTGGCTGCCTGGCAACAGCCCTTTCTCCAAAGCCCGCGGAGCATGGGCCTTTTTGTGACATCTCCCCTGTGGTGTGCCAGTGAACCACGGTCTGTATCCTGGCTCTGTCCCCAACCAGCAAGTCGGTCACTTGGGCTCTCTCTGTACTCGGAACTCAGTAACAAGGAAATGAGATGAACAGTGTCTGTCCCTCATCTCTGTGCTGATTAACTGAGATTGTGCCCAGCAGGACCTAAGTACCTATGTGTCTGTCACTCGGAGGTGCCCTTAACTGGCCCAAAGCAACGGGCCTAGCAATGTGGCAGAGAAGGAGCCCCCCCTCAGTGGCCCCTGCCCGCATGCTCCCGCACAGGTCAAGATGCAGAAGGGTGAGCGCCAGATGGCCAAGAGGTTCCTGGAGGAGCGCAAGGAAGAGCTGGAGGAGGTGGCCCACGAGCTGGCCGAGACCGAGCATGAGAACACGGTGCTGAGACACAACATCGAGCGCATCAAGGAGGAGAAGGACTTCACCGTGTAAGGCGGCCCCGCCCCACAGTGTGCTCCTCCTGCCCGGCTGCCGCAGGCCCTGGGAAGGGCAAGCGACGGAGGCAGGCCCGGGCGCCGTCCCCGGGTCACAGTGCACACAGGCTTACGGCTGGTCACCAGCCACAGGCTAGTTACTGGTTCACGCTGTGAGGGAGGACAAGGACCCCACAGGGTGCAGTGGGGGCAGGGAAGCTTTTCTGGAACAAGCGACGTTTAAGGAGAGCCCTGCAGGGTGGTTAGAAGATAGGCAGTAGGTGCTGGGGAAGAAGGCGTGTGGGATCACGAGTGAAAGCCCCAAGGGAGGAGTTTGCGACTGGGAATTGGAAAGTGGGCCATAGTGAGGAGACGGGTGGGCAGAGGGCAGGGGTGCCATGGAGGTTGGCAGGGGCCATTCTTAGCAGTCGCTTTGAGGAGTTTGCATTGAGGGGCCACGGAAGGGTTTTCAAAGCAGGGAGTGGTGGGGCCAGACGTGGCTCCAGGGTGAAGAATGCATGGGACAGCTCAAAAGTGGATCTGAAGGTGGTGGTTACGAGACTGTGGTGAAGGCTGGGGACAGAGGTGATGCTAAGTGGCTGAGAGGCAAGCAGGGCCACGGATGGCATAATGTCAGCTGAGATGAAGGCCCTGCTCTGGTGCCCAGGTGGCCTTCCAGGAGCCCTCCCTCCCCCTCCCCCACTGTTCCCTGACCAGGAGATGAGCCTCGCAGGGCATTGTGAGGCGAGCCTCAGAGCTCTGAGCGGGCCGGGGCCTGGGAGGGCTCACAGAGCACTATTCTCTCTGGCCCCAGGCTTCAGAAGAAACACCTCCAGCAGGAGAAGGAGTGCCTCATGTCCAAGCTGGTAGAAGCTGAAATGGATGGGGCTGCTGCTGCCAAGCAAGTCATGGCCTTGAAGGATACTATCGGGAAGCTGAAGACGGTAGGTGGCAGGCAGAACCACCCAGCCCTGGGACTGGGCCCAGATGCAGGCAAGTTGCAAGCTAGGGAGGGGTCTTTACGCAGTCATCAGGCTGACTTTATGACATCTCCAGGCCAGGGGAGGGCACACTTAACTCCTCAGCCCCCACCCCCACTCTCACTTCCAGGGCCTGATCCTCGAGGATGACCTCTGGTGGCCAGGGTCTCTGAGGAGACCTCATCATGGGTCTCCTGGGATCACAGTGAGTCAAGGCCTAAGTCTGATTCCTGCAAGTGTCAGCCACAGTTTGATTCCTGCGAGTTATCAGCCACCAGGTGTCGTCCTCTTCCTCTTCCTCTTCCTCCAGGAAGCCTGCCCTAACTGCACTTGCCTACCCTGAGCTCCCCAGCCCTTCTCCCCACTTGTTGCTCTCAGCTGACTCAGCTCCTGCCCCCGTCCTTCCAGGTTCATCTCCTCTGGGAAGCCTGCCTTTGACCCCTGTGGTCCTGTACACAGCCAAGGGCTTCTTACTGGGCCTCCCGGCACCAGCACCTCTTAAGAGGGGCCTGCCTCTGCCGCCTCCTCCCTTCTCCCCGTGTACCTTGTAAGACTGCCTGCTGTCTTCCAGGAGAAACAAATGACCTGCACGGACATCAACACCCTAACGAGGCAGAAGGAACTTCTCCTGCAGAAGCTGAGCACATTTGAAGAGACCAACCGCACCCTCCGAGACCTGCTGAGGGAACAGCACTGTAAAGAGGTGAGCTCCTGGCCTCTGCAGGCCCGTCTGCTCTGAGCCTCAGTTCCTCGTCTGTGACAAAAAGGTACTCTCCGTGCCCGACCTGAGAGGGCCGTAGAAAGATGTGACCAGTGTTCCCGTGAGGTGCTGGTCACCCGGCAGAGGGTGCTGCCTTCATTGTTGAAGCTGGGGCTGGTGGCGCGGGAAGGAGCTGAGGCGTCAGGGGGAGGCCCGGGCCTTGGTTAAACAGAGGATGGCTCGGGGCTGGCAGACGCCAACTGTAGGGTAGTGCTCTGTTTTCTTAAAAGATGGGTTCCTAATGATGTTCTGTATTAGCAAATGATTCTGGAAAGACCAACGGTATAAATAGCTGTCTCCCTGTTGGGCTCAAACCAGAGACCATAGTATGGTGTTTTGTTTTTTGTTTTTTTAGCATTGTCAACTTCTTGTTTGGATTTTTAAAAAATTAGCATTTAATATTTTTATTTAATTGCTTCTCGGCTTTTTGGCTAAATTCAAGTGTAGTATCTGTTCTTGTCAGTTTAATATTTTTATTCATTTAATGTTTTTTAAAAGCATTTATTTATTTATTTATT